TATGCTCAATCTAGTCAATGAACTTATTCAAATTTCTCCACATTATGTAGATTTGAATTATATAGATTTTGCTTGGCACTGGATGAGGACTTCTAACTAACTGTCAATGATTACTTTAAAATGAATGATGTTTTTGGTTATCATTTAGAAAAGTTTTTTTATTGAAGTAATTAACATTTTTAACATTCTTCTGTATCAAGTTTCATATATTTAGAATTGTCTACTCATTGAGTAATCTCTTACCATCTACAAGGAATTAACCATTGAGTTCTATCTTTTCAGCTGCTACAAAGCTACTGCTCGAGAATATTTACAAATATATTAATCAATCTCTGTTTGGCATTGTCCTTATTGGGCTATTACTAGATCCAGTGAAGTCATTTTAGGGGCTTGGGAGAGGTGCAGCAACTCCCAAAATTGGTGAGAGGGGTGTTTCTTGGTGAGAGGGTTGTTTCCCTCTCTCCCATTCCTGGATTCAGATGCCCAAGTTGGCAATATCAACAAAACTAAATCATTAACTAGTACTTTCCTGCTTGCTATGATCAAGATACACGAAGGAAAGGAGTAGCATTGTTGTTATAGGACTTAGTGTTCATACTGCACCTGTGGAGATGCGAGAAAAGCTTGTTGTTCCTGAAGCTCAGTGGTCCCGCACCATTGGAGAGCTATGCAACCTGAACCATAGAAAGGAAGCGGCTGTTCTTAGCACCTACAAGGCTGCAACCGAATGGAGATTTATGTGGTCGTTCTATCTTGGAACCGTCAAGTTTATATCTTTTCTTATCTTATTTGCTTGAATAATAAGAGTTATTTTTCTTATTAGCTTGAATAATAAGAGATGCGGTCACTCTATCTTGGAACTGTAAAGTTTTATAGTTTGGAATTTATATTATCGGTTGAATCTTCAAGTTTTCTTTTCTTATCTTTTTATGTAAGATATTATTTGCTTGAATAATTGGATGTAATGACTAATGATGAAGAGATGTTTTTGTTGAAGTTCGTTATTTATTGTTTTTGATAGTTTGAGAATTAATTAATATTTTTTATATATATTATGCAGATTTATTTCAATTTTTAAAAGTTAAAATGGTGGCATTTTTTATTTGATATGAGAATTAATATTTAAATTGTCTATTTAACAATTTAAAAAATATAAATAAAATTGAAAATTTTCGAACATTTCGAACTTTTCGAACGATTCGAACAATTCGAACTAATTTCGAGCAAATCGAACCGAACACAAACAAGCCTTTCATGAACAATTTCAAACACGAGTCTATTTTAAACAAACTATATTTCAAACGAACCGAACACGAACACGAGCACTGTTCGTTCGTTTTCGGTTCGTTTACACCTCTATCCACAATTTGATCAAGCGTCACATCACTAACATTCCATCAAATCCTGAAAATACCAATCTACTCCAATGACTCACATAAGAGTGCTTAATTAACGGTTTCCCTTATTTCTTAGCTATTAATGCATTAATTTACAAGATTTTTTATGTATAAAGTCAAAAAAAGTTCATGTTAGCAAACGATAATGTAAGATGGTTTTTAAATCAAAAGCCTTTAGGTTTGACTTACGTCAACATTGCACTAAAAGATGAAAAAGCTTTTTCTAGACATGATAAAGATGAAAATTTTAGTAGCTCTCTATCAGTTTATTATTTAATGTCAATCAAAAGGTTTTGGCAAGTAAGGGATGGGAATTCTCTAGATTAGTGAAAGCTGCACAACCAGGTCAAACGAATAACATGTATGTTGTGAGATATGTACTTCCTTGCATAGAAATGAGACGAAAAAGAACACAAGCAAACACAGATCGTTTACGTGGTTCGATCCAACTGGATCTACGTCCACGGGAGGGAATCAATCAAATATTTCACTAAGGCAAAAGAAATGGAGAATACATAGCATATACATAGAGATGAGCCCTCATCTTCCTACTACGACCTCCCTCTCAAGCGACACCTTAATACAAGGCCTCAAGATGCTCTCCTCCTC